TTTAATTTTGTAGTGTTTGTATTAAATTATATATATATATTATATATATGTAGATAACTGTTCTGCTTTACAAAAGAATTAGTACAAAAGTTTTAAATTCAGTTTTTATTAACTATATTAAAGAATTAAATCTCAATAAAAAGCAGTAAATGTATCAATTTTAAAAGATCTAATGTTTTTCTTTGCTAAAAATTAAATTTATAAATGGGTATAGTAACTTAGTAAAGTGAATAACTTGTCAACTCTCAAATGGTAGGTAGTAAGTTCAAAACTCACTGATGGTAAAAATTTAAATAATAACCTATATAATATATAAACAGTATTATAGCAATGATATTCTGTTGATTAGTTGGAATAAGATAACTGTAACACAGTTGCACCAGTATGACTGGCAGGTTATGAAGCATCTGTGCAATATTAGAGTTATACAAAGAAATACAAACTTGCATCAGGTAGTACAAACTCAAGATAAGTCCTTATGGCCATATAAATCTGTAAACTAAGAAGCTGGAGCCCACTTGAAAAGACCCAAGTAGAGAGGTAGCATGGATCTTCAACAATATTACTATAAAGACTAAATATAAGAAATAAATACCAATGTAAAAAAAATTAGGCAAGCAAGAATCTTGAATGAGAGATACCATCAACTAAACTATCAAAAGTCTTGAACTAGAGGAAAAGAATCTTTGAAAAGCAGACACTGAAGTATTAAGAACAGGTTATAGTTCTTTTGGGCTATCTGGATTGGAAGTCTGAGGTCAGAAGCAGAAGTATACTATAAGTACTAGGAATATGCTATAAAGTTAGTACTGGGGTTTAAGTGAACTCTGCAAGGGCAAACTCTGTTAACAAAAAGATTAAATATAGATAATTAGTTAGCAGAGGGGCCCTTTGGAGCCTTATAATCAGATGACATACTTTGAAATATGTAATAACTTGATAGATGTATAGAAAGAAAGTTCAAGATTAAGTTAGATACACTTAGATATACAAGAACTTGTGCACTATTTGTCAGTATAAGTATAGAGATCAGAGTGTTTAGATAAGTAATTTTCTAGTAGATTGTATATATGGCAGCTAGTATAAAACCTGCTATGCAGATGGATTACTTAAAATAGACAACCAAAAGTTGTATATATAGCTAGTTGTATACTTACCTTATACAAGTTATGTAATTATAATTAAAATACAATAAAGGCAATAGCCACTGATAACTACAGCCTTAGTAAAAACAAAAAAAAATATTTTATAGATAATGTTATTTTTAATTAATAATTTTTTGTATATAAGTACAGATAAAAAAAATTTAAAAGATTTGTAACTGCAATACATAAAGGTAATAATTAAAATATATATATTTTAAATAAGATAAAATTTTATTGAATATGTATTTTATTTTAGGTTAATCAAAATATAAATATATTGTTAAAAAAAAAACCCTTAACAAACTTTAATATTATTGTTTATAGAAAGCCAATAGAAAAATTAAGTACATAATATGCATAATAAATTAAATATTTGTTTAATCAAGTAATTTTAACAATTTTTTAACTTAATTAAAAATAATCTTTAGATTTTTTATAATATAGAATTTTAATTTATACAACTATATTGAATTGTAAAATTGATTATATGTAATATATAATATTGATATGATTTTTTGTATAGGTTTTCCTATTTTGTTAGTTAATAACTTATATATATTACTATTTATGTATTTTGATAAAACTATGTAGATATTACTAATACTTTAACAATCAAAATAGCAAGAAATCTTTATAAAACTTTAAAACATAAAATGATGAAATAAATAATATTATTTAATTTTTTATTTATATATATATATATATTTAAATTATATATCTAAATTATATATATTTTTCAATCAATATTGTTATTAAAAAAATTGTCTTCCAATATCTAGTAACTTATTATTTAACATTAGAGCAACCATATTGCTTAACATTTATCAAAAATTTTGTTAACAGATATAAAATTTTATTACTATTTCAAAGGTTTACTGTTGCAAAGTAACTTAAAAAATAAAGATTTTCAAATATATAATTATTAATTCCTGTTTGATTGTATTTAAAAATTTAATTTTAAAACTAAAGTATAAAATCCTTATTATTTATTATTAATATTATTTTTGTAGATATAGTCTATAACACAATTAAGAATACATATCAAGTGTTGGTCAATAAGTTTCAATCTCAAATAAGTGCTGAACTTTGGTTTTATATATTCTAACATATATATATATATAATTTTAAGTTGTATTTATCTTTTTTTTTCTTTTTTTTTTAATGTTAAGATGAGTACATATGACCCAAGATTTTATTGGTAATATCAGTTGGCTAGCATCTGTTAATATAACAGTGCAAAAGCAATTATAAAAAGAGTATACAACTAGGTACTTATACAACTTTAATCATTGTCTAATTTAAGTAGTCTGCCCAAAGGTTCTATATTAGTTGCTATATCTAGGACCCATCTGTAGGACCTTTATTTAAACATTCTAATTCTATATCTACCACATCTTACTAACAACTCCAGTAAATCAGTAAAGATATGTCATGGTTACTAAGTTATATTTAACTTTGTACTAAACCTATCAGTGAATTTTGTATTCTATACTTACAGCTTATCTAGTTATGCTTTGCCTTAAACTATCACTTGTAGTCAAGACTAACTATTAAACCACTTTTATTCTTGTAAGGTTCATCCAAAACTCTAGTACTTATCTTTTTGATATTCTCTTTATTATCTCCTACTAACTGTTATTTAGAATCGACAAGACTTTTTGAATTTCTAATTCAGATAATTCAGTATGGTATACCTTAGTATTCATTTTCTTCGATGATTTTGATAACTTAGTTGGTCATATGCTCCTCTATACATCTTGTCATCTGGTTTATTTGTCTATCCCTTTAGAGATGTTTCATAAACTTTCATTAGTTTGACAACACCATTAAAAGTTTTGTACTACCTTCTTATTTAGGATTTTCAAGTAGGTTTCCAACTCTTCAGTTCTTTTGCTTTATGTGCTTGATGGTCTTATCATAAGTTTATACTGAAATCTTATGCAATACTGGTTATTAACATTTCTCTATATGAATATAACATTACACTTAGCATAGATGCTTCAACTCCTATTCAAAATAGTGCAACTGAAGATTACAGATACACTAATCCAACCAATTAACAGAGACAGTTACTATAACACAGACCTATTTTTCAAAATTCATCATTTATAGGATTTGAACTCTAGATCTGCCACTTGAAGGTTGACAACCTGACCACTTCACTAGATTGCCAAACTCCACCTTTTTTTCAAGATATATATGTCACATCTGAAGTAGCGATTTATCTAAAGTAGCCACTTTATATATCTAAAGTAGCTCCCTGGCTAAAATTAAAATCTAATGCATGCATGAAGATCTAATTTCAGAGGCTTAATTTTAGTCAGGCGCTACTTCAAATGAATCGCTACTTCAGATGTGACATATATATTATTAAATTATTTATATATAAGCTAAGTATATATGCATTTTATCATATATCTTTTCAAAAGCAATCATATCATAAATGATTTTTAGAATATTTGAAACTCAAAATCTTAAATTTACCAATAAATATTATCAAGCAGTTAAGAACAGCTGCTAATTGGATCTATTCAAAAGTATTTAATAATATAAAATATTAAGAACTATTTGAAAGATTATAGTGTTTGCTTTTTAATTGCATAAAAATCTCCAATTAAGCATTTAACCTTAATAAATAAATAAAAACACATAATTTGATTAGACTTAAAAAATAGGCAAAAAATTTTTGATAGTCTTATCAAAACAATTAATTCTATATATACTAGCAAAATAATCAACTCTTAAAGCATATTCATAGTTAAAATACAACAAAATGTAAAGTCCATATCATTTATTATCAAATACAATTCAAAATATTATTTTAGCAGTTGTAATGTAGTAATGTGCATAAGAATAATGTAATAAGTAAAAAATTAAATATAGCTTATTACAGTTTAAAAGAATGAAATCAAGTAATAAAAAGTTACTTTTTTTGCAATAAAAAAGTAAAGAACGCCTTTTTATATTACTTATGATTTATTGATTTGTAACAAAAATTGCAGTAATAGTAACAGTTACAAGTATATTCATATTCTCCTTAGTGTTGCTTTTTCGACTGTTAAATATTATCTAATTTTAAGTATTAAATCAAACTAACCAAATTTTTAATATCGAGTAAAATAGGCGAATGAACATGGTTATCATTATCATTATAATTGTTGATAAATAAATATGATTACACCTGATGCGAAAATCAGCATGCGATACTTTTTTGAAATAGCATATTGCAACTACCACCACTTCCAGAGATATTTATACATAATTCAAATGTTAATTAAGTCTAACATTATAATGATGAACACCTCAAACATAATTACAAACTATTATAAAGAAAATGCAACACAAAGCAGTATTAACATATTAGAAAATACAAGAATTACTAACAATTCAATCAAGTTAAATAGAATACAGTTAGGAAGAGATACACATCATGCAACATTAACTAAATCAAAAATCAAAACCAAACTTAAAATATTGAATCATTTATAAATTGTAAAAAAAAATAAATGTTATTTATTTTACATTTTTGATCGTTTTTTTGATCTATTAGGAGTTGGTGGATTTGGTATTACTGCAAGAACCTTTCGCTTAGAAAACAATTTTTGCTGAAGATCTGTGATTAATTTTTGCTTTTCAATGTTTTCTTTCATAAAAGACTAAATGTAAAACTATTATTAATAAAGAATTGAAAAGAACTATACAAAGTTTTATTATACTTACAAAAAATTTTAAGCATATTATAATTGCTTCGGATAACACTGGAAGATCTTGCCAAAGATGTGGAATCTTAAAACTTCCAAATTCACGCAAACAATATGTCTTTTGATGTATGGTACACCAATATAAAGATATTTCATTGCGGTAACCTAAAGCACCAAAACTAGCAAGATCTTCTTTATCACATGTCCCATCCTTAAGTTGAAAAATTATTCTTTGATTAAGTATGTCACGCATAGTCCTAGTTAACTTATAATCATGAAGACAAAATTCTGTAAGATTGTCATAATCCGGAGGTCCTATCTGTTCAAATAAAAAAATTTCTTCACGGTTTTCCCAGAGGCGAGCTAAACCATCTGCACGTTTCGGAGACAAAACTCTATCAAAGAGTGGGTTAAAATTGGTATTCCGTCTGTGTTTACTGCTTTCAATTGGAACTTCAAGTCTATAACAGAATAATCATAAAGTTAGTTAATTATCTACTTTCTTGAAATGGTTAATTAATCAAATTCACTTACATTCGCCAATCAACACTACAGATAGCATCAAGTGTGTTGTGTAATATTGGATTTATAAACTGCGCATTATACTGATTCTCTTCAAGGTCACCTGATTTTAAGATATTAAATGGTGCCTCAAAAGCTTTGATACTAAAAAAAATAAAATTCAAAAAAAATATTATTACAAATAAATCTGAAAGTACAGAGAAATAATAAAGGTTTAAACATACTATGGACATAGAATATTGTATATTACATCTCTTATAGGGTTTCCATTGATTTTTTTTTCAGAAGAAATCGTATGAAGTTCATGAAAGGCATTTATCCATTCCAATAAGGAATTTTTTGGCTATTTGAATAACAAAAATTAGTCAAACCGGAAGCAATTCATCTTTTTCTAGACTTTACGATATACCTTGAAGGTATCATTTATTAGTCCCTCCCAGTCTTTAGGTAACGTACATTTAGGAAATGAATTTGAAACAAATTTCATCCATATTTCATCAGAGATTTTTTCAGCAAATTTTGAGGTTGGTCTAAGGTCCATAATATCGCTATGACATAGGCTAATAAAAGGTGATAATACAGAATAAGACTACTTTATTTTTCATAGCAATAACGGGAACGGATTCTACTTACTCAAAGTCGTTTTCACATTCATTACGATAATCTTCAAAAATATTCTCCAAATTAACATTGTCTATAACCAGAGGTGATCTTTCGACCTTTCCGATCATTGATTCTGTTATGTTTTGAGAATCGTCATCTGAATCTGAATTGTTACAAGCGATATATTTCAGTTACATATCAAATCTGTAGCATAAATCATCCATTTGCAACATACCACTAGATATAGCGTCCTCTTCATGTTTATTATTATCATAGGATCGGTCTCTATATTCTTGACTTTCTTCATTTGGTTTGTTTCTAGATATAGTTGCGTAAGCATCAAGAGCCTATATTTATAAAAGAAAGAAACTTGAAAGCATACCTGAGCTTTCGAGTTTTCCTTGTTGATATAAATAATTTTACAGTGAAGAACTTCATATAGACAGAATAAAAGTTATATGTGACCATCGGAAAAGAACCCGTGTGGTCTTTAAAAAAATACCTTTGGCTTCCTGAACCTCCGATTTCATCAACAATAGCTGTCTTGACATTTGTCTGAAAAATAAAAATAGTGAGCAAATAATTGTAACATTTGCAATAATATTGCACAACTTTGAATCACCTTAGTTATTAGTTCGCTGAGTGATAAACGAACTTGAGACTCTGCAATTTCTTTACTCTTGCTCCATACAATATCACAGATTTCTGACGGTCCGTTCTTAGACAGTTGGCAAAGATAAAAAAATTTAAAACTCGGATTCTTTAACATTATAGATAGTGGTGTACACGCGAAAGAATCATATAGTGAAGCCATCGCGCTTCTCCTCCCCATCAGGTTAGAAATCGCCCAACCATTCCTCGAAAGCGCCGAGGGGCGTAGTACACCTAGTTAATACATTTCACACGCGACAGAATCACATAGTGAAGCCATTGCGCTTCTCCTCCCCATCAGGTTAGAAATCGCCCAACCATTCCTCGGTAGCACCGAGGGGCGTAGTGAAATGTATTCTGATGCATCTTTAACGTAAACTAACCTTTAGTTGTTTCTTTAACAATGACACTTTCTCTACCACCCTTTGATCAGATGCTTCAGAAAGAATATTCAACTCTTTAGCTAGCGAAGAATGAGCTTGATCTTGCTTTTTATGTTGAGCTGGGTTTTTCTGTATCCAAAATATATCAAACGACTCGATAGACCATTTCTGGAAGTTGGTATTTAACCAGTAGTCTACAAACAAAACGGATATAAACATTCTAGAACGTCGTGTATACTACAATCGATATGAGAGAGACTTTTCACCTTCATAATAAAGGTTGGATGGAATGGAGATCTCTTGCGCGTTGAACTTGTTGAACTCTGACATTTTAGTGAAAAAAAAAATAATTTTGCGAATTTCTTTTTTTAGCAGGAGTAATCATATGAAATCACTATGACTATATTTTTGATCGCTATGATTTAATTTTGAAAATGAATAAATGCAACTATAACCATTTATCGTTGACAATATTTTACAGATTTATTATTTGTGAAATATTAATATAGACTTTATAGATGCCCACTTATCAAAAAAAAATAACAAACTTAACAACCCTGTGATTTCAAACCATAAATTCTAGATAAGACTGATTTTTAAACAATTTTATTTAGATAAAATGCCAAATATATAATACAATCGTTAATCGATCTTATACACTAATTCTTTCTAAGATTATAAAACCACCAAATATCTATGGGCCTTCTCAAAATGTATTTACTAGTAGATTTGTAGGTACGAATTTTGTATTATAATGTATTGTATTAACCTATGCGCGTGCACTAACTTGGAAGTAAAATAAAAAATATATTATGAGAGCTTCTAAATTTATTCCATCGCATAATATATTTTTTATTTTACTTCCAAGTTAGTGCACGCGCATAGGTTAATACAATACATTATAATACAAAATTCGTACCTACAAGTCTACTAGTAAATACACTTTGAAAGGGCCCTATACTATTACTTTCACACCTTTAATAATACTATACAAACCAATCTTCAAATATGTATACATTTAAAATTTAATACCGAAAATATTAACATCAATTATCCACATGCAAGAGATCGTACTGGTCCTGCGCGGCGTCATGCGCTGCGCAGCTACCCTTATGTTAAATAAAGAGATATGTTCATTTAATAATTTATAAGGAAAGGCATCATGCATCAGGTTTCTTCTAGTTTTGAATATTTTTAATGCTAATGCTAACGCTAATGTTAAAGCTGTGTTACTCAATAGCGATAGTGACAATGATAGTGATGCCAAATACGTTACAAGAGGGCCTGTGTATGTGAAATGACATTTGCACGTGGATTGGCCAACTACTCCAGTGGCACAGACAGATTTTCACTGATCGACAGCGATTGACCAATTAGATTACCAGATCAGGTGTAACGTGAAATCAAAACAAAAACTATAGTAAAGCCAGCCTGTTTCAAATTTTAAATATGCATCCGGCCTAAAAATTTTAGGTCCGGAACCAATAAAATTACAGAACAATTCTAACTATCAAAATAAATTAAATCTTATATTTATCGTATTAAGAAAAATCAAATAAAAATCATATAAATTATAAATATTAATAGTTTTTTTTTAAAAAAAAAAATATTAACGGTGAGGTCATGCCTTTAACTTTATTGAAATTCAATTGAAGTTTTTATAAAGAAAAGCTTGCTTTTAAATTATATATGAAGAATA